TCCTGCGTAGTACGGCTGTAAAAGCCTGATGAAATTCTCGTGCATCCCGTCGGACCGCAATATGCACCACAAGGATTCTCTATCGACAGAGTCAAAGGCAGCGTGGAGGTCCGTGAAGTATGCCGTGGTAGACTGCTGGAACTTTTAGCGGTGTCCCAGAATCCTACGGAGAGTGAATATTTTTTCAACACAGCTTCCTTCACCGCCACCCGACTTTGGTGGTAGGCAGCTCTGCTGTCGTCCAGTTCAATACCACGCCTAGCCTATCGGGGCCTTATGTGGTTCGCCACTCCAAGTTCCGGAGCTTAAGTTGCCGATTTCAACCACTGAACAGCAGGTCCTCGTGACTGTGGGGTTTGCCCCGTCTGCTGTTCATCACACCTAGGTGTGTAATAAAAAAAGGTGAAACTCCCCTTGGGAAGCTATATCTCACCTAGCGAACGCGTCACAAATGAAGTGTTGGCGCGCATACAGCAGACTGGGTTGGCATTTACCAAATTGTGACATTTGTGACGCGGTCGCGACATCCGGTTGTCTGTGAAGGATCGAGCGTATTCTGCAGCAGTTCGTACAGTTCTGCTCTGCAGTGCAAAATCTTGACCAATACGGAAACAGGATGAAAATAGATTGTTGGTGTTTGAACACCGCTGTCTACGCAGCATTGCACGAATCTGGTGGAGCAGCCAAAAGCGCAATACTGAGGTTAGTCGTAGAGTTTTAGGCATTCGCGGTCGTCCACTGAAGCAAGTGGTCGACCTCCATAGATTACGTTGGTTGAGGCATATGTTATGAATGTTACCAGATAGGTTGCCACGGCGAGCGATGTTTGCCAAGGCTGATACCGAATGGAAAAAGATCAAGGGTGGTCAAATGACGACCTGGCGTGAGGGTATGAAAACCCTAACCAGCAGTTTGGGTCACAGGTTCCGTTAGGCTCTCTAGATGAAGACATGGGGATCATGGTCACCAGTGGTTGGAAACACTGAGCAATATGGCTGGGTGTCGCAAGCAATGGCGCTCATGCATCTACTCTTTATTCTCGCAACCTCAATCTCTATGAATTCTCTATCTTCCGCTTGAATTTGCTCTCAAAATGACAATCTTCATTCTGCTCTTTTATCCAAATGGGCAACCAAAACGCAGCAACCACAACTGGTGCATGAAAATGCAGTGATAGAATTGATGGTTTTTAGTGGTATATATATATATATATATATATATATATATACGTTGATTTGTTTGGCATACGATCGTATGTGCAATATAATAGTGATAATAATGAGATTAATAATACTCAGAGTTTTAATTTCGAATTTTTCGTATTTTTCAGAATGTTTGCCGATCAAGTACCCTCAGTGGTATTCTCGAAGTATATGGACGTCAGGTCGCTAGTGCTGCAGGTGATGTCTATTAAAAATATTAGGAAGTGTCGATGTTTTCAGGCTTTGGGTTCGATACATCGTTGGACTTACCAGTGAATTCCAGTCTGCCACCGGAACAAAACGACAGGTAGGTTAAGGGTAATTGGGCAATTATTTTATAATAACCTTATTCGGATGATCAATGCAGAGCACCATAATCACAAAGATCTAGTATTTGGGTCCCGAAAACCTGTAATCTAGATGCTTGGACAAGTTGCCCTCGAATTAAAAACCTAGCAATGTAGGTGTGATATTAAGTTAAATGAAATAAAAACTGCTTACCACTATTCTGTTGTTCGATTTCGTTACCCTTTCCTTTTTAAATCACGATTTCATATTATGTCTGTTTAATAGCAATTTTGAATATCAGAAAATTATGCACATGATCGTTTCTGTAATGCGAATATATGGTGCAATGGGAAGGCGTTAAATTTCATGCAGCGAATTTTTTGAGTGAAATAGAATTTACGGATTACAACAGGCCTATTCATTTTTCTTGAACCAGTTACGAGAGGATAAAGGGGGTTCTTTGGGAAAATCACGATTGAAAACTGGTAGTGCGACATATAGTCACCACCACTTAATAAGATTGTCCGGCGGCTTGCGCATAAGACCGGGACGAAACAAGCCCGGCAGAATAAGTTAGGATTCATGTTGGTGACAGTGAAAAGGGCGCAACTACTTTGGAAGCGCGGGCGCGATCGCTGATAAGGTGACTGGTTTTCCAGTGAGTCTGGTGAAAGAGGAAAGGGAAAGACAAAAAAATTGAAGCTTTCGTGACTGCAGTACTTAACAGTAGGGAGTATTTCAGCTTCATACAACAGGTGATGGAAAGGAGGAAAGAGACATCTGTCACAGAACAAGAAAAAAATCTTGTGCGCACCATGGAAAGCTAACCCTTTTATTTAAGGTATCCACGAAAGAGAAGAATCTAGGGGTATTGCAAGGAAAGAGCATAAATTTATGAAACAAATCGGAAGAGTTAAAAAGAAAAACAAATTGAGATGGGGCTTTAGCGAAATGGAGAGTATAGCGATTTTGTAATATTGGAAAGCACATGGTTTTCGGTTCACCAGACCAGTAGGAAGATAACATGAGTTCTTTGAATTCGTTTGACCATTTCCATGATGTGCTTTTTCTGTTTATTATGTGATCAGTTTCTAACAGAGGCTTTACCGTTTTGTTGAATTTGCAAGGGATAGGCGACACGTACATTGTATCACTAAGTGAATTATCCCTTCGAGATATGTTGGATTATTACTCTAGTATATCCTCTCACCTCCATTTCGCTCTCCATTTCAGTAATGAGAATGACAGATCTACCTTCAGCCGCCTGCGTGATGCAGATCGCGCTCTGCTCAAACGTTTCCATGTTCACTACATTTGTGACTTTATGGTCGAGTTTAAAAAGATGAAATATTGGGTTCCGTGAGTGCCTCTTAATGTTGATATTGTTTACTGTATTGGTGTTCTTTTTTTAAAGAAATGATCACGCTAAAAAAAGTTTTGTTTCGGTTTTTCATTGCGCTTGAATCTGCTCTCAAAATTCCAATCTTCATTCTGCTCTTTTATCCAAATGTGGCACCAAAAGACAGCAACCAAAACCGGCGCACGAAAGTGCAGCGTTAATGGTTGTAAAAACTGAACTGAATCACACTGTGGTTGGACATGCTAAAGGATTATGACTAAGCAATTTCTGTGTTATTGGTCGATTGAGTCAAGTTACATGTCCTTAAACTGTTTTGCAAATATACTGTCCTCTTTTTTTTATTAAACACTTTCGTGTGATGAACAGCAGACGAGTAAATTCATGAGGACCCGCTGTTCAGTGATGGAAACCGGTAACCTGATCCCCGGGACTTGGAGTGGCGAACCACATAAGGCCCCGATAGTTAAGGTGTGGTGTTGGACCGGACGACAGCAAAGCTGCCTACCACCAAAGTTGGGTGGCGGTGGCGATCAGCGAAGCTCATCTTATCATCATCTTGCTGTATCGACCCAGTTAGACACTTTAATTCACATCAGACCGTAGTGTTATTTGCTTCCGTGACTTCTTTCATAAAATGTTTTAGAATGTTCTTGGCGCAGGTATCCGCCAGGACAGGTAAATCACTCACCAGTAGAACGCATTGGAAGCACCATCACAGTGTTTCATTGTACTTGGGAATCCTGAGTAGTGTATAGTTGCAGATTCCACTGGGATATAGGGTTTCATTAATGTGCCGTGCTTAGACCAACATCTCAGAACTCTCACGCATCCCTGTCGTTGGACGCGCAAGACTGCTGTACGCACCTGTTCTTAACAAGATCCTCTCTCAAGGCTGAGAAAAAAACATGTGTAGGGCTTCCAAGGCGTTTCATTGGTCAGTTACACGTAGACCCTGTATAGTTTGTCTCAATGTGCATAATCCTCTCATTTTTTCCTTTACAACGTTCATTATTCAGTGTCACATCCTCGGAGAAGGCAGATCCTCACAACCGATATCACGATTTTGAGATTATTCCGATGCCGTATCCAGGAAGTGAATTTTTCCGTGTCTGGCGTGACAGCGGCTATGCAATGCGTGGTTTGGTGTTTGACTGGACGCAGGTAAGTCTCTCTGTTTGTTAATACGGAGTGACATTTATTCACACCAACTTCAATAGTTAAAACAGCCATTGAATGAAGCTGAACCGTGGTGTTCCATTTATCCTTTGTAATTGTTAGTTCCAGTAGCTTCTACTCCGTAGTCGCATTGTTTTTTTCTGAGCAGTATCACGTTCCTTATATGAGTTTACCATTTCTGATGTCAGTAGACCAAGATTGTCAATCATTATTGAGTTCTCCGCTTGACCTACACCGACAAAGTAACGCGGTTAACCTTTGCTAAACATACACATGCCGATGCATATATTAACAGATCACGGCAAAGTCAACTTGAAGCAAGCATTTATCTACCATTCCGATATTCGTGGTAATATAATCACATCATTATTTACCGCATTGCATTTTTGTTTGATTCTGGAGTGAAATAATTTCCCGTTGTATGTGTATCTCGTGTTCCATTTGATACATTTACACTGGCTTCCTAGAGACACCAAATGGTTTTTTCACAAAACTGCATAATAATTTCGATTCTGCTGATATTTCCAAAACATCGAGCTTCTTTTTCTTTCATATTTGCTTCCTTTTTAATGAATAAAGAATTACACAGATAATTGTTTCGGAAGAGGGAATCGCCTAATCAAAGGGGTAGCCATGTAAAAGTTGGTCGGTGGTGGCGAGGTTCGAATACGCGAGTCCTGGGGCCATAAGTTGGTGACCTTAACCGATTGGCCACCACCGCTCTGCCGATTGACAGATAACCCTCTGATCATTCTGAAACACAAACCTGGGTGATAACCAACACAGATAAATCAAATTTGCATCCGTAGAGTCTCGGTAATTCGTACTTACGATAGCAAGTAGGAACCAACGAACGAGTCATTAGAATCGTCCCATTAAACTAATGCAGTGCTGACAAAATAATTGCGACCTTTTTAAGACCGATTTCAGTAGTCGCCTGATATCGTTTGCTTGAAAAGTAGAAACTTTTTCGGTATTACTACTTTTCATGGGTGCTGCAATTTAAAGTGCGTTTTGTCCATAAATAAAGGTAGCTGGTATGAGCATTGAGAACTTCCAAAAAATGTCTTTTTACTTAAATTTTTTTTAATTCTTTACTTTTTGAGGGCGTAGTAACATTTGGCAGTTTTAAGTGGGTATCTTTCATATCGGTCTGGTTTCAGACTGGTTCAAAAATCTTTACTGAATGAAAATCGGTCTATGATTTGTTCCCTGGCGCACTACTGTCACATTGCCCAAACCAAGGCAGATAGCCTTATTAGGGATTCACATTCCAAGCCTTCGACTAGCCAAATCCAGACTCCAAAGGCAGCTGGACGTTTTGACAACTGCATTCCATTTGAAGTCTGTATCCGGTCAATCGGATCGTATAAATTCGGTTTCGACGAAGAGATTTCCCGCAAAGTTTCGGATATTGGTTTTGATTAATGCAATCCAATAGAAACTGAAGAACAGTTTTCGCTTCATCACGTCTTGATTGATTTAGTCATTTAGTCAATCAATCAGTGGATCGTATAATCTTAGGATTTTATTGACCCGTCTAAGTTGTCCACTGCACGTTGTGTATGGATTGAAACCAATGAGCCTCGCGATTATGAAAACTTTTTGTTCACCTTGTAGTTCAATTCATGCAATTGAAAGAGATCCAGAGAGCGGCAATAAAGGAGGAACCAGCACATTTTGATTCGGGATCTTCAAGTAAACAAATAAACAAGTAAACAATACTATATTGTCTTTGGTGCATCAATCGCTTCAGACACATGCTAAAGCCATACATTAATATTCTGAAATCATTGCAAGATACGCAATATGAAATGCCTGCCGTGTACTTTTGGCATTTCGCCACCTTTGTTTGTTTTCACTGTACAACCTTTATGCGTAGAAGACAGCCGCAAATCCCAGCCTCTCTCCCCACGGGTCGTTAAGTGCGGCCATAAGACAAACAGTATCGAGGTATTGGGTAATTGTGATTGCACAATCACGCAAGGGCTTAAAGTTGACCA